CTCAAATTCCATTTGCAACCAAGAATGACCTTGAACCCCTGAGCCTCCTGCCTGAATGCCCTCCGCCTGAGGTCAGATGTTTGCAAAATGATTTCTTTCTTAATTATTTGCAGACTTACAATTTTATTTGAGAATACTTTTAATTACCCCTGACTAGTGTGAGCCAAGTTGGTTTCTTGGTGCCTCCAAAGTTCTTCAGGAAAAATGGAGTTTGGTATTTAGTAATAACTATTGATGAAGGGGCAGGGTCATCTGGTGCCTAAGCCCTTGGGTTTAAGTCTAGGAAGCCTGGAGTCCTGGGTCCACTGCTCACTCACTGTCACTCTCCAAAGTCTGACTTGGGCTCTTCTTGGCAATCCTTCTTGGACCCTCACTCAGATTTATATAGGTGTGAGTATCTGCCCATTCTCCCCATTAGGCATGGAGGGGTAGGCATAAGTATCTGCCCATTCTCCCTATTTGGCCTGGAATGGTAGGCATGAGTATCTGCCCATTCTCCCCATTAGCCATGGAGGGGTAGGCATGAGTATCTGCCCATTCTCCCTATTTGGCCTGGAAGTATAGGCATGAGTATCTGCTCATTCTCCCCATTAGGCATGGAGGCATACAACAAAGACCTTATATGTTCTGTGTCCTCAGGGCTGCCTGTAAACTATTATATTTGTATGAAATATTGTTCTGCTGTTCCTGGGTTAATTTCCTTTGAAGCTTATGAAATTCACCAACCAGTTAATATGTGCTAGGCACTGAGCAACACTCTGTAAGACTAGGAAAGTCCAAGTAACTTGTACAAATCTCACAGTGAATGAGCAATGGATGCAGGACTCCAAATGCAGCCTCCTAGATTTCAGACCCAGGGTCTTAAGCACCAGATGACCCTGCACTTTCATCAATGGTTGTTGCTAAATACCAAACTCCATTTTTCCTGAAGAGCTTTGGAGGCACCAAGAGACCAACTTGGCTCTCACTAGTCAGGGGCAATTAAAAGTATTCTCAAATAAAATTATAAGTCTGCAAATAATTAAGAAAGAAATCATTTTGCAAACAGCAGGTAAGGATGATTTGAAGAGACTCACTTTAACACTGGAACATGCTCTTAAATACACAGCTCAGGGCTATAAAAAGCCACTACACGAAGATTGCAGAACCATTAAAAATCAAATTGCCTTATAAATTTTTAGAGAATTGTAAATGACCCTCTGTCATCTCTGGGGAGATCTTTTCTGGAAGCTCCAAGCTTCTTGGTGACTGGGATGAATGAGTTGGCTTCCTCCATCTGTCCATCTTCTATGGTGGGGATAGGGGTGGAGGGGCATCAGAACCTTCTCATTTTAGGACTTAAGCGTTATTTGCTAAAGTATCTAACAAGTTAAACTAAGGGCACAAGGGACTGGATTGTAGGACAGTGGAAGAGCTCATGCTTAGCACGCATGAGGTCCTAAGCTCAGTCCCTCGTCACCCCATGTGCATTCACACCTGCACACACACATCCAAAAGCAAGAAAGGCTGTTTCATGTTGGCATGACGGGAGAAGTGTTTAGTTGCTGTCTGGTTTAATGATGGAAGATTTTTAAGTTTTCATCTTTTGTTTAACTAATACAGTTGATTGTGGTGATATATTGTGTATCCTAATAAAGCTTGCATGAGGATCAGAGGACAGAGCCAGCCACTAGATTAGACATAGAGGTCAGGCAGTGGTGGCACACACCCTTAATGCTATCACTTGGGAAGCAGAGATCTGTCTGGATCTCTGTGAGTTCAAGGCCACACTGGAAACAGAACCAGGCAGTAGTAGCACTCACCTTTAATCCCAGTACTGGGAAGCACACACACGCCTTTAACCCCAGGAAGTGACGTGGCTGGGCGGAGAAAGGTATATAAGGTGTGAGGAAACAGAACTAAAGCAGTTCAGCTGAGACCCTTTCAGGTGAGGACTCGGAGGCTTTCAGTCTGAGGAAACAGGGTCGGCTGAGGAGTTGGCAAGGTGAGGCTGGCTGTGGCTTGCTCCGCTTCTCTGATCTTTCAGCTTTCACCCCAATATCCAGCTCTGGGTTTTTTATTAAAAGACCATCTAAGATTCAAACAACAGTTGATTAACACCCTTGTTGAAGAAAAAAATGCTTTATAAAGTGTTTACCACTAATATTTTAACCGGTTTACCCTTTTGTGTTTTTTTTTTAAAGATTTTTTTTTATTTATTATGTATACAGTGTTCTGCCTGCATGTCAGATCTTATTACAGATGATTGTGAGCCACCATGTGGTTGCTGAAAATTGAACTCAGGACCTCTGGAATAGCAGCCAGTGCTCTTAACCTCTGAGCCATCTCTCCAGCCCCCCTTTTGTGCTTTGAGTGAGAGGCTTGATATCATGGGCTACCAAGTTTCCTCAAAAGCTTGAAAGATTCTAGCAATTGGGCGAGGTTGGGGTAAGCTAACCCAGGGGCTTGAACCCTCAGAGAAATAGGGCTGCTTCTTCCAGGCAGCGGAGGAAGCCTCGGGTAGGCACAGGCGGCAACAGGGACCCCCTTTGTATCCCCCAGGCTGAAAATGCAGCTGCTTTAACTAAGTAGAGTTCCTTGAAACTTCTCTGAAGTGAGTGAACCTATTGGACCAGGGTCTGTTTTTCAGAACACACTCCTTTGCAAAGTTCCCAGGACCTTGTAAAATGTTGAATTCTAAATCTCGGTATAAGAATAAAACGCCAGTGGGCTCATTATATATCCCAAGAGTGAGAAAAAGAGTTTATTCACTAAAAGTGGAAACACCTACTAGTTTTATTACAGCACACGATGTTCATTTAGAAGTTCTAAAGCCTTAATGGGGAATATCAAAAGTTAGCACCCGGTTAACCACACCTCGTGAATCCTTGTCGTGGCAGGTGCCTTTGGTCAGGTTTGGATACAGTTAATAAATCTAACGCTGGAGCCGCTGACCTCATAGACAGGTGTCCTTTGCAAGCCATCTGAATTCTATGCCAGGAGATTTGTCTTGAGTAAGTTGCCTTGAAGCCTAGACCACTTGCTCAGGTATCCAGCTGGGACAGTTGTCACTTCCCAGTGAACTTGTCATCTCTTCCCCCCAGTAAGTCTAATAACTTTGTAATTAGTCGGACATTACATTTTCCTAAAGAAATCTTTGTTTGGCTGAATCCAGTGTAAAACTGTTAATCAGCTCACTAGTTAACGCATTGCTTGTTGAACATCTGTTACAGAGCAAAGCACTTAGCGGGCCAGGAGGATGCTCTCTAACCAACAAGCTCAACACGATAGCCTCGCAATTGATTGAGCATCCAAAACAGGTGGTCTGTCTCTATCATCAGGGCTGACCGTTACAGGTGGTCTGTCTCTATCATCAAGGCTGACTGTTAAAACTCATTTCAGCCGGGCGGTGGTAGCGCATGCCTTTAATCACAGCACTCAGGAGGCAGAGGCAGGGTGCTCTTTGTGAGTTCAAGGTGAACTTACTCTAGGTAACAAATTCCAAGACAGCCAGGGCTATACCGAGAGACCTTGTCTCAAAAGACCAAAAGATTTTACCATTTTAACTGCCATTGGAAGATGTATTTAAATGTTATGTGCATGGGTGCATGTTTGCCTGTATGTATGTCTCTGCAGTACCCTAGAGACCAGAAGACACCAGAAACTCTGCACCTGGAGTTACAGACAGTTGTGAGCTGCTTTGGGGGTGCTAGGAATTGATTGTGGGTGCTCTGCAAGAGCAGCCAGTGATCTCAACCTCTAAGCCATCTCTCCAGCCCCATAATAACCATTTTCAATGTTATCCAGATATAATCACTATTCATATTTGTGCAAAATACTCAACTTTTTAAAGACTAAAACCGCTTTAGTAACATTTTGGGCAAAGGGGAGCACATTAAGCCTGTTCCTATGCTGCTTTCTTCTCATTTACTAAGGCAGTGTCAGGAACACACTCTTCTGATATTAGATGCGGAGTTACACTGTTACATTCAATGTCTCATTGTACAGCCCTGTATGGCTGTCACAATCCACTCTCCAGTTTCTGCACTGATAGACTTTTAGGTTGTTTGCAAAGATTCACTACCACAAACACTACTCTAAGCGTATGTGAACTCAAGACTTTATATCTTGTGTAATCTTTCTATATAGTAAATTCCTAGAGATGATTTAATATGTTTCTAAGACTTTCTGGTATATATTCTGAGTATGAGACTATTCCCATTCAGGAAGCCATTTAAACATGCTAAGCACGTCTTTAATCCCAGCACTCAGGAGACAGAGGCAGGCAGATCTCTGAGTTCGAAGCCAGCCAGGTCTACAGAGTGAATTCCAGGACAGCCAGGGCTACACAGAGAAACCCTGTCTCAAAAAATTGAAATACAGCATAACTATAAGGAAGTTCACACACCGAAAGAGTTCTTGACTAAAATAATATATATATAGCGTCTGGAGCGACGGCTCATTGGTTAAGAGCACTGAGGCTCTTGTAGAGGACCTGGGTTTGATTCCCACACGACACCCACATGACAGCTCACAACCCTCTATGACTCCAGTTCAGGGGATCCGATGCCTTTTTCTGGCCTCCAAGGGCACCAGGCACAAATGTGATACACAGACAAACATAGGCAAACACACATACAAAAATAATGAAATGAATTTTTTTTAAAAAGTTAGAAAAAGAACTGTGGTAGTATTCTAATTGTACTGAAATGTGATTTTGATTGTATATTAGTAAATAAAGTTGCCCGGGGGTCAGAGCTATTAGAGCCATAGAAAGAGCATGGCGGTGGTGGCACACGCCTTTAATCCCATAGATCTCTGTGTGTTCAGGGATACAGCCAGCATTGGAGACATATGCCTTTAAGACCTAGGGGGCTGTACATACAGACAGTGACGAGCCAGTCACGTGTTTGTGTTTACAACCAATGAGAAGGCAGAATGACTTTGAAACGACTGACACACAAGGAAATAGCTCTCTTTCGGGAAGCTGGGACACAGCAGGAGGAAGGGTGAGATTTTAGCTCTGAGCTCTGACCTCTTGGCTTTCTCTTTTACATTGTTTCTGTGTTTCTTATTTAATAAGACAGTTGGTTACATCAACAAAGAGCTCATACATAAAGCCCAGACAAAGAACGACCAGGTGTGTGTCTGCTTCTGGGGCTCAGTTGATTGGTGAGAACATTTGTTGTTCAAAACAAACAGATCAAGCAGGGATGAGACTGCTGTGGCATATAAGCCAAATGCCCCAAAGGGCCACAGACAGGGCCCTGCTGTGTCTGACTGGAGACTCCTGCCTGGCACCTCAGTGTTTTCATACTGTAGAAGTTACGGAAACTGGGTTTATCAAAGCAGATGGCTCGGCGGGCCCCACATGGTGGAAGGAGAGAAGAGACCCCCGAAAGTTGTCCTCTGACCTCCATTCACACCTCAACACCCACGTGCCTCCCCACATAAATAGAGTGTTCCAGGATGGCGTTCGCCCTCTGTTGTGCCTTGAATTGCTACTAAGCTATTGAGCCCCAGGATGAGGCTTGGTCTTGGGGGGGGGGAGGATATGGGGGTTTGCAGAGGAAGCTGAGGTGGTGGTAGCGTGCACAGGCATGGTGGTACTCTGCTTTTAGAAGAGTCCATCCTTGTTCACTTCACCCAGTGAATGCTTCACAATCATTTTGTAAAGAATAAACTGCAATCTTCATCCTAGCCAGAAACAAAACAAAACTCAAGTAGAACGAACCCTTAAATCCAGTTTAAAAGCTTTACTAGGGGCTTGCACTCAAGGCTGGCATAAAGCCCAGCAGCAGAGCGCTTACTTGGCATGTGCGAGGCCTTGGGTTCAAGAAATGAAAAAGAAAATAAAAAAGGCAAAAACTGGAAGATACATGGCAAGATAGTTGGAGAGGCAGATGACGATGAGTTCAGAGCCGAGGGTAACCTGTCCCTCTGTGACATCGTTAGATTCCTAGCACAATCTGGAATTTCCTGGCATCTCAGCAGCTCCTCTGTGCCTAGGATCCAAGAAACACAAAGTTCCAGAGATGCACTGCTTTAAAAAAATTTTTTTTTGTAATAAAAAAAAAATTTATTTACTTTGTGCATGTGTGTGGGTGCCACAGTGCACACATGGAGGTCAGAGGTCAGCTTGTGGGCGGGTGTTCCAGGACTCAGATCATCAGGCTTGCTGGCAGGTGCCTTTCCAGGCTGGGCCGCCTTGCCAACTCTAGTCTTCTTCACCAGGATCCTATCGCTTCCCTCCCGCTCGTGACTTAGTTTGCCTTTCCATTATTCTGACTTGAAACTAACCTCCTGGGCTGAATGTGGCAGCACCAGTCTTTAATCCCAGCACTCAGGAGGCAGAGGCAGGAGGATCTCTGTGAGTTTGAAGTCAGCCTGGTCTACAAAGTGAGTTCCAGACCAGCCAAGGCTACATAGTGAGACCCTGTCTCAAAAAGAAAAAGAGAAAAACAGAACAAAAACAAAACTACCTCCCTGTCTCCCTTTCCCACCAGTCTATCTGATACCAGGTTAATATTTTCTCTCCTGGTGTGGGAGATTGAGCCCAGGGCCTTTGCACATTCTGGGCAAGTGTTTTACCCCAGAGCTCCACCCCCAGCCAAAGACTGATCTTCTAAAAGCAGAGAACTGATCATCCTTTTCCTTCTTCTTCTTTTTTCTCTTTTGAGACAGAGTCTAACTTAGCCCGATCTGGTCTCTGTGACAGAGGATGATTTCAAACTTCTGTCCTCTTGCCCCTGCCTCCCAGGTGCTAGGGTCATAGGAGCATGCCGTTACATCCCTTGCCTGGTTTCTCTAGACAAGCTTTCAAAGGCTTCCTACAGAGTATTCCAAGCCCTGCACAGAACAATAGGAAGTCCAATCATGAGTAAGTAGGGTGAAAGTCAGGGGCAAATGGAGGATACCCCCCACCCTCAGTAGGAGCACCTGGCCCTTGCCAAGCAAATAGAAGCTGCTTAGACATCTTACATTTGTCTGTGGCCAAATGGCTGTAAGTATGGGCGCTGGTCCTGAACATCTCAGTACTTTCTCTGGAAAGTCACAGAACAACAAGCTGCTGTAAACATATTTAAATCTCAGCATCTCTTACAATGGCAGCCACAGGAAAAGGCTCATACCACTTTTAAAAGAGCTTACCCAGGATCCGTTATCAAATGAACTCCGGGGCTGGACAATTTGGCAGCTGCTTCCCTGTGTTCTGATCTGAGTCCTTTGCGGAAACTGGATATGCCCGGCTTAGGACACAAACTGCAGAGAGCATGTGGGGAACGCACCCCCGTGTCCCAGAAGCTCGGACACTGAGCAAGGTATTTTTAGAGGCGACCTGTTAGGCTCTTCAGAAAAGTAAACAGAGGCACGTGACTTCCTCTGAGAGCTGCGTGTAAACACATCAGCACATGTGCACAGGCTGCCGTCCTGTGGGACTGACGTCCAATCAGGAGGAGGCAGGGAACCAAGGGCTCACGGCCTCCAGCTGTTCAAGAAACAGCAAGTGGAGAAACCATACCCTTTCGAGTTCTTGGAAAACATACTATTTTTATTTTATTTGTGTGTGTGTGTGTGTGTGTGTGTGTGTGTGTGTGTGTGTGTAGTGAGTCTTTCTCTGTCCCACCAGCCAGCTCACAAATAATGACATGGAGACTTCTTATTAATTATGAAAACTCAGCCTGTAGCTTAGGTTTGTTCCTAACTAGCTCTTATAACTTAAATTAACCCATTTATATTAATCTATGTTCTATCACATGGCATTACGGGTCTTCTATCTTGCACCTCCTGTTTCCACATCTCCTGGTGTCTCCTTGAGCGCCTAGATTCCTCCTCCTACTTCCTCTCTCTGTCAGGAAGTCCCGCCTATACCACCTTCCTAGCTGTTGGCTGTTCAGCTTTTTATTACACCAATCACAGCAACACACCTTCACACAGTGTACCAGTATCCCACAACATTTCCCCTTTTTTTTTGCCTAAATAAAAAGGAAGGGTTTTAACTCTAACATAGTAAAACTATATATAATAAAGACATTTATCAGGTAAGAATTACATTGCAATGTCCAGTCTATTTGTATTTGGCAAATTCAGAGAAAGTACTATATTATCTATCCTATCTTAGTGAGTCCAAACTTAAACCATTTTCTATCATAACTTGTATTGCCATCCTAAAAATATCTTTTTAGATCTAAAACATCTTAGATAAACAACTTAAGCTTTTATGTATCTCAATCTTATAAACTTTACATCTCCTGTGTCAGTTTTTTTCCCCTGGATTTGGTAACAAGGAAAACTGTATACTATCTAGTCCTCAATCCCCATCAGAGACCCAGGAAGTATATAATATTACCTGATTAAACAGGAAGTGCAGAGCAAGCAACTTGCCAAACTATAGAAATGACAGAGACACCTGGCTGCCTGGACAGTCACTCAAGATTCCTCTGTAATGTTGGGGCACCCATCTTCAGCCTATAGGCCTAAAGTATCTGACAAAATTTTCTGCAAAGTAGGAATTTTTGAAGGATTGTCCTATCTTGTCTTGGCAAAGTTAGGCAGCCATCTTCGTTTGTGTCCTGCTTGTCCAGTTTGGACAGTATATTGCCAGCAGCTGAGGCAATGGCAATTTCTTTCCCAGTGGCTGACTTTGCAAACTCCATATGGAGGTTCTTTGATGTCCATCATCTTTTTTTTGAAGTAAGTTGGTGCTGCCAGGAGCAGACATGTCTCATGCCCTTCCTGCTTCTTCCATGTCTCCTGGCATGCCTCATTTCCTCCTCCTGGGTCTTATGTTTAGTATGAATACGTGGTCCAACCCCCATAGCCCTCAGGCTATGACATGGGGACTGAGGAAGACAGATATAGGGAAGGTATCTGGGTTTTTCTGTCCCACCTGCCAGCTCCCAAATAACCACACAGAGACTTCTTATTAATTATGAAAGCTTAGCTGATGGTTTAGGCTTGTTCTTAACCAGCTGTTATAACTTAACCCATATTTTTATTAATCTATGTTCTACCACATGGCTTTTACCTCTCTCATTTTGTGTGTCCAACTTGTTCCATGTCTGTCTAACTTCTCTGCCCTGAAAATCCTGCCTAGCTATTGGCCATTTAGCTTTTTATTAAACTAATCACAGTGACATATCTTCATACAATGTAGAGAAATATTCCACAACAAGTATCAGCTAGTTGACTATAGACCAGCAACCCTTATTCATCTTGACATTTACTCACTGATGCCCACTTTAAATGTCTGGTTTTATTGGAGAAAGGAAAGATGTGGAAGTTTATCTTTTGAAATAGAAATACAGAGTTTACAATTCTATGCATGCCATGTGGCTGGGTCCCTAGTTGCCAGGAGTAAGAGAGTTTCTGTTACAAAATTGAGACTGTGAAACAGAGGATTCCTGAAAACACACAGATGAATATATAAAAAGAAAGCTTCCTCCCAAGAAATACACAATAAGAAAATATAATCCAATAGCCATAAAATTAAGTCTTGAAATTTCATAAGAAAGATTCTGGCCTTTGGAAAGCAGGGGAAACCTGGAGACTCAGACTGAATGCCAGAGAAAGAGACCCTGGAGATAGTTTATCATTCCTAGCCAGAAATCAGCCAGGATTTCTGGTTGAGCTTAGACATCTGGTCCTCATACTAACTAACCAGACTTTCAGTCTGTTGAGTGACGAAACTCATTGTGACTGGGGACAGCCCAAATCAACATTAGGGCTTAAACTTGTCTAACATCCTAAACCTTTAACCTAGGCACTTCCCCTTATTCTGATGACTGCTATTCTACCTGATGGGTTGTTGGAGCCATTTAGGCTTTACCCAGCAGGTCTGCAGAGAGAGGATGATTGGACCCGGGTACCAGGTGTCTGAGGTGATCTGCACGTGGCTGTGCTGGGGGGAGGTCTTTTGTTCCACCCTTGGCATTCCTTTAAATACCCTAGGGAAGAGACAGTTGGGGGCTGATGGATTAGGATCTGTGTACAGCATGTTTGCCCAGTGCCTGAAGAGGTCAGAAGAGGGCACCAAATACCCTGGAACTGGAGTTATGAGTTATGGATGGGAACTGAACCCAGGTCCTGTGCAAGACCAACAAATGCTCTAACCGCTGAGCCGTATTTCCAGCCCCAGCACAGTCTGAACTTTGCTTGAAAGACAACTGTTGTTTCGCACCTTGACCAGGGCTAACATCTTGTAAATATAAGTGATACTTTAGGCAAAGACACTTACAGTGTCTAGTGCAGTTTGCTAGGGCCTCCCTTTTGAGATACTGTCATATCTTCCAAGTGCAAATGAGTTTTAGAAGTAGAAAGTGGTGCTTACTAATTTGAAGTACATGACAAGATCAATATCTGGTCCCCCAATGTGATAATAAAGTAATGTTTATATAACTTCTTTTTACTAAATAGTGCTTCATGTTTTAGCATATGTACATTATACCCAAAGGTAATTATTGTTATTACTGATGTATATGATTCACTAGGTGACAGGCCATCTCAAGAAAGCAAAACAGAGGAATTCTCAGCAGGGCCGGGGATGCAGCTTAGTGGTCAAGCATTTGCCCAGCATGCTCGAGGCCCTGGGCTAGCTCTCCAGCACTGCAAGCAACACAAACAGGAGCTAGCAGGGCGGATGGCCCAGTTGGTAAAGTGCTTATCGCACAGCATTGAAGACCCGTCATCAGCACTCATATCGAGCCAGGCACAAAGGCACGCACTTGGATCTCTAACAAGGAGGAGGTCACATGGAGCCAAGCACGGTAGCACACACACACTTGGATCCCTTGTACCGAGGAGGTAGAGACAGGATGTCCCCTCCTGCTTGTCTGGCCTGATGGTCAAACTCCAGATGGATGGCTCCTTGGGAACGACAGCTGAGGTTGACCTCTGTCCTCCACATAGGCACATACGTGCACTTGCAAACACACCAACACACACACACACACACACACACACACACACACACACACACACACGATTAAGCAGCAACCAGAGGACAATTCTGTGCTGTGCTGAAGGCAGAAATGCTTGAATAAGCTATTCTTTTCGAGTTCCCTAACTGAACCTAACTGAACACAACAAAGACTTTATCGTCTATGAACTTGGCTACAAGCCTCGTTGGAGCCTTAGGCAGGACAGGACTGGGAAGAGCAGAGTGTAGCACTCATCCGGGTACAAAATTCAAGGGACCAAGAACTATTTTAGCAATCAAAATCAATTATATGTCAATATTTTTTTGAAACATGGTCTCACTCTGTAGTCCTGGAATTTGCCACATAGACCAGACTGGCCTCAAACTCACAGAAATCTACCCGCCTCTGCCTCCTGAGGACTGGATTAAAGGCATGGTGTGTGGGCAAGTTGAGTCGAGAAAAACAGGATGAAGGAAACTGGCAAGGTCAGGTGTCACCTACCGGAAACAAGAAAACAAGCACACTTGCCAAAAATACACAGGGGGGTTCTGAACAACATACAAAGATAAACGTGCTGCGGTGGTTTGAATGCGAACAGCCCCCATAGGCTCATCGATTTGAGTGTCACCACGGAGTGGACCTGTTGATAGGATTAGAAGGATTAGGAAGTGTGACCTTGTTGGAGGAAGTGTGTCACTGGGGGTACACTTGGAAGTTCCAAAGAGCTCACACCAGGTCCAGCATTTCTCTCTTTCTGCTGCCTGTGGATTAGGATGTAGCTCTCAGCTGCTTCTCCAGCACCACATCTGCCCTGCTTCCTGCCATGATGACAATAGACAAAAACCTCTGAACTGTAAGCCAGCCCCAATTAAATGCTTTCTTTTGTAAGAGTTGCCGTGGTCATGGTGTCTCTCCACAGCACCAGAACACACCTTTAATCCTGGCATTCCAGAGACAGAAATCCCTCTGGATCTCTGTGAGTTCAAGGCCACATTGGAAACAGCCAAGCATGGTGACACGCCTTTAATCCCAGAAAGCCAGCCTTTAATCCTAGGGAGTGGTAGTAGAAAGTAGAAAGATATATAAGGCGTGAGGACCAGAAACTAGCGGCATTTGGCTGGTTAAGCATTTGGCTGGTTAAGCATTTGGCTGGTGAAGCATGTGGCTGGTTAAGCTTCAGGCTTTCGAGCAGCACAGTTCAGCTGAGATTCATTCTGGATGAGGACACAGAAGCTTCCAGTCTGAGGAAACAAGACCAGCTGAGGATCCGGCGAGGTGAGATAGCTGTGGCTTGTTCTATCTCTCTGATCTACCAGCATGGACCCCAATAACTCGCCTCGGGTTTGATTTCATTAATAAGAACTTTTTATTGCTTCATAAATACATCAGAAGGGTAATATCTTTCATGTATATACAGTCAGCACAATCAATAAAAATATCTATATATAATTAATTATATTGTTGTAAAAATAAGCTTAGGTTATAAAGGGCCAATTCAGAATAAAAGGAAAAACCAGTTGGCATAGGAAAAGCCAAAGTCACCATGTCTCAGTGTCTACAGGCTATACTGTTCTCTGAATAACAAAAGGACTGGGCACACTCACTTTCTACATTACATGTGTCTTCACATTTGGACTTTGATAATTCACATACATTCTTTTCATACACGAACAAAAAAGAATATTTGAAAGTGAAATTCACAAGCACAGGTCGTAAAAAGGTCCGTCACCACGGGTGCACTGTAGCAAGCTCATTCCAAGGGTATGGATAAGATGCTGGAGCAGCCTTCCTAGAGGGCAATCTGGAATTCAGACCACAGCTCTGAAAATGTCAGCATCTGTTGACACAGTGGCTCCACTCCAGGCACCGTATGTCGGGAAAATGATTAAACACGGAAGCAAATATTTGGCTACAAGGATATTCTTTGTACTTTGCTTTCTGTTAAATAATCTAAACATTCAGAAATAAGGAATTCTTGACATATTGTACATTCTTCTACTATTCTATAGTCATTAAAAATACAGAAGTCAACTGATATGAAAGGATGTTTACATCTTGTTAAAAAGTGTAAACACACACACACACACACACACACACACACACACACACACACACACACACAAAAGGTCACAGAGCTATATGAACAGTATGAACCTCAAGTCCTTGAATCTAAATCTGGGCTCCTATCTGACTTCACTAAGTCCCTGGCCCAAATTCAATTTAAATCCTCATCTTATTTGAAGAGAGGAATAGGGCTGAGTACAAACTGATTTTTTTTCCAAAGTAATTCAGTAACTTGGGTTGTGTGATACCTAGACTCACAAACAAAAAATGTAAGAACTACGTTTACTTATTTAGTGGTGATGGGGAAATGCCCAAAGGTCAGAGGACAACTTGGTGGAGTCAATTCCCTTCCTCCTTCCATCAGGCGAGTCATGGGGGATCACACTCAGGTCATCAGACTTTGCTGCAAGAACCTTAACTAGCTGACCTACCTTGCCAGACCCCGGTTGAGGAATTCCATTCTGGCTCATTACCTCTCCACACTGTTGCCGGTAGTGTGCATTCGGAAACTGGAGAGTTATTGGGCAATATTATCACCTTTTAAAGGTGCATGTGACCTACCAGAGATTGAAGGCTTAGCCTCATTCCATGTCACTAATCTTTTCATTAGGTAGATGAGAAAACAAAAAAAGAGGTGAAGAATTTAATTAACTTTAAATAAGCTCAGATTAGCTGAACTCTCCAGTGAGAGATGCAGAGCTCTATCTTCTCACAGCAGACGAGGAAATTTTTGAAAGAAGTCGCTATAAATGAGGCAAAGATAAAATCTGTAGGATCCCTAGGGATTCCTAGGGAGCCAGGTTAATGCCCTAATTGTGAAAATAACTCACAGCTGAATTGCACAGGCTTTGGAGTCTCACTAAATGGCAGGCAACCCTCAGCTGTTCCAGGGGTCAGCCAAGGTTGAACCCAGGAGGCATGCATGCTCCTGTTTACTCCACGCCCTCAACAGGAATCTTTGTCCAGCAGCCCCAACTCTGTAACCTTCAAGTCACTGACAACCCTGGACATTTGCACTGCCCACTTTTATGTCAACTTGACACAAGCTGGGGTCATCTGAGAGGAGGGACCCTAATTTGAGAAGTTGCCCCAATAAGATCGGGCTGTAGGCAGGCCTGTAGGGCATTTTCTTAATTAGTTATTGATATGGCCAAGTTTGCTTGTTATGGGTGGGGCCCTCCCTGGGCTGGTGGTCCTCGCTTCTATACGAAAGCAGAGTGTGCAAGCCATGAGGAGCAAGCCAGTAAGCAGCTCCCCTCCTTGGCCTCTGCATCAGCTCCTGCCTCCAGGTTCCTGCCCTTTGAGTTCCTGCTTTGGCTTCTTTCAGTGGAACCTGATTTAGGATAAGTCAGTCAAATTAACCCTTTCCTCCCCGAGCTGCTTTTGGTCATGGTGTTTCATCACAGTAGTGAAAACCCTAACTAAGATAGCATATAACATCAATTTATCAGCTCCCAAATAAATCAATTGTCCTCTATTAGAAAACGAATATAACGCCAAATGGCTACATTGAAGAAATTAGTATAACATGAAACATAATATTATGCTTACTAAGATCTAATAACATAACTTATACTACACTGTGCTGTTCTGTATACAGTGTGTTTAGGATATTTTATGTTGTAGACGAATTGCTAAACGGTCTTATTAATAAAAACCCGGAGCCAGATACTGGGGTAAAAAGCTGAGAGATCAGAAAAGCAGAAAGAAGCCAGCTACATTCTTACGCTTGGAGATCCTCCACCAAAGAGACCTATGTTCTGTATACCCACTCCTATATGCTTTTCTATTCTACCATCTCATTTCCTATCTCTGTCCAGCTACATCACTTCCTCTTCCTGCCCAGCTCTGTCACTTCTGTACAGACCTCCAGACCTTTATGTTTAGTGCTGGGATTAAAGGTGTGTACCACCATACCTGGCTCTGTTCCCAGTGTGGCCTTGAACTCACAGAGATCCAGACAGATCTCTGCCTACTTACTATAGTTGTTGGCTTTTTCTTCAATCCTCAGATAAACTTTATTGGTGTACACAGATAAAATGTCACCACATTATGTTTTAAAGAATTTAACAAATTTTTAAAAATTTACAACTTAAATTATATTTAATTGAAATTCTTAGCATTTGACCAATCCAAGTCTTCCTGAACACCGAAAAGCCCTTGGCTAGGTGCATGGACTAACCAGGCTACTGAAGATTAGTGATGCCTGAAGAGACACAGTGCCAGGGAACACTCCCAGCTCTGTGAAGGGTACACTATTGGACCTTTCCAGATGAAAACCAGAATACAAAGTGTTCTGGTGGAAGATCCACCTCAACTCCCCCACCATCTCTTTCCCTAAACCCGCCCCTTCAAAGCCCGCCAAACACGGCTCCTCCCCCAGAGAGGCTCAAGACCACGCCCACAGGGTGTATAAGCTGCATCCCTGAAGACAGACACGTGGTTATTCTGGTTCTTCCAGTCTCTGGTCTCCCATCACTGGCTCCTCTCTGCGGCCTGGGAATCACCCAGGAATGCTTTACCCATTAAACTGGACCTAGTTAGGTCTGATTTGGATTGCTGCATTGTCGGAGAAGCCTATCAGGGTACAAAAAACTTATCATAAAGCAGTCCCTAACCTGCTCAAAGAAACGCAGTCAGTGGCAGAGCCAGGAGTTAAAACAGCAGGCTGGAAGCTCACTGCTACAGCCTGAGTCTGGAGCACCCCCTACGGCCCAGACTTGAAGGCCTGGTCCTCAGCCTGGTGCTATGAAGAGGTGGTGGATAAGAGGCAGGGCCTAATAGACAACTATTAGTGACCTAACTGGGGATGCCCTGAAGGGACACTGGTATCCCCCAGCATCTTGCTCTCTCTTTCTCTTCACTTACCGGCTGCCATGAGGTAGCCGACCTTTCCCAACACATGTTCCCAACAGGACCTGCTGCGTTGTGACAGGCCCAGAGGAATAATGCAGGTGTCCGTGGATGGAAACCTCTGAGATCCTGAGTGAGAACAAGGCTTTTCTCCTTTCAAGGTGATTTTCACAGGCATTTTGTCCCAGTGAGAAAAAGCCATGTGCTCACTCCACAGCAATTTCAGCACTCCCAAGACCACACTAAGTATTCGGGGCTGGATGAGCAGCCACATGATTACAGACCTTCTGGGGATGAGAAGTACCAGAGACAATCAGATATAAAACAGTGTGTGAATTTCATATTTTTTGAGAAATTTAATAATTGAAATTATAAACAAATTTTAAATATAAAAGGAATTTAATTTGCTTTTTCTGTACATTATTCTAACATGAAATGCTTAAGAAAATCCTACTATATAAGTATGTAAATGTGAAATTTAACATAGTAAATTAGTAAGCTTGCTGAGCATTTATCAAAGAATGAAAGTGTTTAACTTGATAGATTTATAGATAAATTTGAGAAATGTGGTTAAATGCTTAACAAGTAGGCCCAACAATCATTACTATAATAGGACCAGCAAGATGGCTCAGCAGATAGACATTAGGACACCTGAATTCCATCCCAGAACCCACATTAGAGGAGAGCGCAGGCACAGGCCCCAGACAGTCGGAGGAGGGAATCACTCGGCAAGCTGTCCTCTGACTGCCACACATACACAAAATAAAGGTAATCATTTCAGTTGTACGGCCAAAACACATTAAATTCAAACACCTTTACCGGTTCCTAATCCCCAGAGAGAAGCCACTTCTAAATACATAACTCAGAGGAATGGGCATGCTGATCAGCTAATGCTAGTCTTTCTTGGAGTAGGAATTATGAAGGTTCTTTTTTATTTTTATGATGTTCATTATTGAAGAAAAGGAATTCTCTCTTTTCAGCCATCTTTCAATGCTCTTTCCTGAAGTTTAACATGAAGAAGTTCTGAGTCTTTAGTCAGGCAATTATTAAATTGCTACACTTACCATCCTGATCATCGTTTTCCTCCCATCCATCCATTTCTCTAGGGAGTGTCTGTCTTAACTGTCATCATCCCCAAGAAGATTACACCACACATTTTGCCACTATAGCAGCTGAAGTACACTTTATATAGGCAATTATGTAAGTTTCAGAGTGTTTTCCTTCCTTGAAAGGCGTATTCCCTTTTGGTTATTAACCCTGGCGTAGCATTGGGGTAGATGTTACCAGGCAAATTTAACTAAAGTGGGGAAATTCAGCTGAGGTGGTTCATAAACTAGAAAAATGGGTTAGCCTCTGAAGAAACACATCCCGTGTAAGGAGCTGAGCGGTGTATGTCGCGTAACAAGCACTTTGTTTCCTAGTGCTCAGTGTCTGTTGCTCACCGATCAGCCTAGCTTAAGCATTCTGTAATTTTGACACTCATCAGACACGTCACGTTCCACATGTATTTCTATGAATCAATCTGATTTTATGACAAAAGTAAATAAAAATAAATCTAAAGGTAATTAACTTCTTAACCACAAAGATATCTTTTAAGTTAGGTCCTGGGAATACTTTACTTATCATGACCCAAATATATTCGTATTTTGTCCCGGACTGTTTTGGTGGTGGAAGTTTCTGGATATAGAAACTTCCAGAGAACATGCCCGCACAACACAGCTCCGGCGCCTGGCCCGGTGAGGACTAGGGGCCAGCTGGGGATTAGGTGCTGGCACTAGGGGCTGAGCCAGCCAGTCTCCCAAGGTGGCAGCCAGAGCAGAGAACCAGCATCAAAGAGCTGAGCTAAGCTGGCAGCAGGTTAGGAGCTGAACTCTCCGGGCGGACTGAAGCCCTTCCCACCCGCCCCGCCCCTTCTCCTCCCCGCCCACTCTAAGCCCCGCCCCTCCCGCCTCAGCCCCGCCCCCCAGTCCTCTCCCGGTCCGCGTGAGCGCCTGCGTGGTGCGGAGCCTGGAGCGCGCTTTCTCTCCGGCTGTGCAGAGGTGTAGTTCCCGGAAGCTTGTGCAGTTCCGGGCGGAGAACCCGGGTTCTTGCAGCCGCGGGCTGGGGATGCGTCATAGCCTGGAGTGGCCTCGGCTGTGAGCCTGTTGGGATGGGTGGGTTCTGAAAGAACGGTTTCCCAAGCCCGGCTTTGATGAAGTGACTGGATGGGAGAAAGGCGAGCATCAGAGTTACAGAATACTTACACGAGGATCGGAGCAGGGATGCCACCACTGAATCCTTGGCTTTTGGATGGGGGTGGGGAGGGGTTGGTTTTGGTTTTGAGCTGGTCTCCTAATGAATCCCAGGCTGGCTTTGAACTCCTTCCAATAATGGGGTCATAGGCGTGCACCGCTACTCCAGGCTACTGTAATACTAAACATTTTTTAGGCTAATTCATCCTCACAAAATGGAAATGGCTGGACTCACCGTCTATGTTGCAACACTCCACGGGCTACCTGTTAATTACAGTAAACACCCGACTTAATAACCTTCAGACCAATGTTTGACAAGGATATCGGGGTGTTGGTGTCTTCAGAGTTCTCTTCGGGAGTCTGAAAGATACTCAAGAAAAAAATCCAGCGAATATTTTTCCCAAACAATAGGGCTGCAAGCCGCTGTCATTTTGGGTTTTTTCTTGTCCAATACCAGTGTATTCGTTGGCTGATGTGCGCACATGAGATCAAAGCAAAGCCTGGTATCTTCAGACTTGAGAGATCCAAGAGAAACAGAGCTTCGCCTGCTTCAACTCCATACCATTGTAACAGACGAATTCTAGATGCGGAAGAGACGTGTAGCTGTAAGAGTTCATAACTAGCTACTCAGCGTGAAGTCTTATCCTTCCCTTTGGACGGCGGCTGGTTAGAGAGAAGGCGCGCATAATCCAACGCCTGTCAGCCGACAAGTCCGCAGAGAACTTTCTGAGCGCACGCTCACTCCATGAAATGTCTGGGTGTTTCTCCCCCTCCACCTCTGATAGCACAGTTGAGGGCTTGAGGAAACAATAAGTAAAGGACGGTTTGTGAATTTCTATTTGAGAGACCACAAGGTAAAATTAGAACTAGGGCGTCTATTTTTATCACACTTAGTAATAAAGGGTGGATTTTTAAAAGTAGGCTGGATTTGCCATTCATTATTGGAACCGTCACAACTCTGAAATCTCCTTTGTCTTCATTATACAGAGAGAAAAACTCTGCTTTGGAGAATGTAAGGTATCTTGGCCAAGGTAATATGGTTCCTAAGTTACCAGCTAAGGATTGAACACTGGTTATCTATCTCTCAAAAAAAAAAAAAAAAAAAAAAGTTAGACCTATGAGATGGCATATGACATATGCATCCTGGTATACAATATACACAAAATAAATTTAAATTTAAAACCCCACAGAATGAACTGAGGACCCTTATGATAAATCTCATCAAGGAATTGGAGTGTAGTGCATGCTTGTTACTCCAGTACTTGGGGGCTGGTGTCTTCATCACTTAGACCAACTTGGCTGATGTAGCAAGACCTGTCTAAAAGCGAAACAGAAAACCCATAAAAGAAACAGCTTTATGCAAGGTGTGGTAGTACATTCCTGTAATCCCAGTGCTTAGGAGACCTATATAAACCCGGTGCTAAGGAGATCCATAAGTACTAAAGTCATGTAGCCTGTGTGTCATCTACTAAATATTATAGTAGCCATTGTGATTACAAGCTAGTCAGCAAAAACTTACAGGGTTTTGTTTTAAGTTAAGTTTTATTTGAAAGTCAAAGCAAGGGAGGGGGTGTTAGCACTTTCCCGTTTGAAGGTGTTTTTGCTGTTTAAAGACCATGTGCTGATGTCTGATTTTCATGTCAGGTAATATTAGCCTCAAAAATGAATTGGGAAGTATTTCCTGAGGTATCTGTGAAAATTTGCTATTAATCCTTCTTTAAATGTCTGGTAGAATTCAGTAGTGAAACCATCTGGGCCTGCTGTTTTCTTTGCGGGAAGTACCTTTTTCTTAAATCAGTAATCCAATCTACAGCAGTGGCATGCGTAGTTTCAAGAGACTGCCAGACTCTTTTTCAGAGTGAATAACCCAATGTGCGTTGCCCACCATATGTACTATGTCTATCAGCCTTCGGGAATGTCGCTGTTTTTTATTTTAGCCATTCTGGAATATAGAAATATCTTACCGTGGTTAAAAAACATTATTACTGTTATTATGATTGCATGCTTGTATGTGTGGGCTCTCTCCTTCACCACGTGGGGCCTGTGGATTAAACTTCCGTCATCAGGCTTGGTTATACCAAGTGCCTCTACCCGCTGAGCTGTCCTCCCCGTCACTCACTGCAGCTTTAATCTACTTTTCCCTAATTTCTGACAAGACTGGAATCTTTTAAATATTTGCTTGTGTGTGTGTCCTTTTTAATAGGATGTCTTTTACTCATACTGTGACTGGATTTGCTTTGTATTGTTGAGTTTTGTGCATTCTTGATATATTCTAGACACTATGTGGTTTACAGATATTTCCTCCCGATCTGTAACTTGTTTTTCTGACTTCACAGCATTTTCTACAGAGTAGCCTTTTTAACTTTGATGGAATGCAATTTATACATTTTTCCTTCAATGAATTGACTTTAGAAGTCTTTGTCCCACCTTAGATTGAAACATTTTCTTCTCATTTTATTCTTAAATGTTTCACATGTTGTATTTACATCCATGATACAGTTTGAGTTGGGTTTTGCATAAGGTATGAGGTGTGACTTCATTGTTTTCATCTTTAGATATCCACTGGTTTACAAGGCTTGCTCTCCACATTGAACTGTTTCTGCACCTTTGTCAAAATTCAACTAGGAGATGACGAGATGGCTTAGGGGCCTTGCCAGTCTGATAACCTAGCTCAGTCCCTCGATCCACAGAAGAAGGAAAGAGCTGACTCTTGCAAGATGTCCACTGCCCTCCACATTCATGCATGCATGTGCCTATATTTCACATACACACAGTAACAATGATAATGGGTCTTTCTTTGGACTGCCAGCTCCTAAGTAATGACATGAAGACTTTTTATGAATTATGAAGCATGGCCTTAGTTTAGGCTTGTTCCCAATTGGCTCTTAAAACTTACATTTTAAGAAGACCTGAGTTTGGTTCCAGCACCC